CATAATCACAATCTATTTTCTAATAGGAATGATCAAAGTTCACATATAATTCTAGAAAAAAAAAAACATAAGAAAAGAAACATATAAAATATAATCAATCATTTATTCTCCATTTCTTTTTCTCCTGCCTTTACACATGGGTATCCTCGACTTACTCTATTTCTCAATTCATGTCGAATAGAATATTTCGCTTTCTTTCAATACCTATCAACATACGCTCATTTACCAAACGGCAACAGCTGTAATAATCATCGTGAATCGATTAATAAGAAAACGTCTTATTCACACTGAGAAAGACAACACAAAATATATATATATATATATATTTCAATATATAAAAAAAGATATGACGATATATAAATCAAATTGGTTCGAAATCATACGAACAAATTTATCAGGACATTAGCCAAGAAAAAAAAGAAAGTGAGAAAATGAACGAGGTGTATGTCAAATATTTCTTTACAACTCACAATAGTGTGACCTTTCCTCTTTTCCTTTCTTTTACTTTCTATAGTCTCAGCTTTATTTGAACGCACAGAAAAAAAAAAGGAGTTGAACTACGAAGAGAAAAAAGAACTGGAAGGGTGGTACTGCGCTATGAGTATGATGAATGTAATCATTTGAATAATATAAAAGAAAGAAAGGATATCAAATTAGAATATTACCCTCTTACAAACTGTGAAACAAGGATATTAGAATCAACAATGAATAAGCAAGGACGATTTATATTCGAGGAATTTTAACTAAAACAATTTTGAAAGCATTTCACCGGATTTTTTTTTTTATCGTTGAAGGATTTTAACACTCGACGATGATTATGTATTGTTAATGTGATCACCATATCTAGAAAAATATTTGTTTTTACGAATGACTAATTTACCTGTCTATCAAAGGCAAACATGACCGAAATCGATTTGAGAAAAAGAAAGAAAAAAAGAATGAATAAATATAGAAATAATGAGTCATTGAACGAAGCTGCTTGCTTGACAATCAATGAGTGAGAGGGAGAGAGAAAGAAGGAGAGCTAATAATATAGAACGCGAACAGCAAACAGTTATTTTTTCAATGGTTAAGTGTTAAAACCATAGAGTATATCCTATACTCTTATATAGAATACCATAAACTTAAGAGGATAGAGTTTTTATTTTTTGTTTCGGTTTATAGTTCAAACATATTTTTAAGAATCGTTTTATTAGATATACAAGTATAATATCTTAATAGATGGCGTCACAAGTAAAGTGAATTGAACTATTTCAAGAAAATTCTAATTATTCTAGTATATAATTTAAAGAATTTGCTAGATGTTAGAGATTGACTATCCTTTTTTCTCTAATAATATCACTCTCATATAAGTGATAGTGAATCAGTAGAATTTAATGGTAACTTGAAATATTATTTGTTTTACAATAGAATTCTATTACACAAGATTAGTTTTCTCTTTCTGATAAGCAATATCGGTATTTTCAAGGACTAATATGTTTAAAGAAAAAAAGATGAAACCAAGTGGATAAGTGCAGCAGTTAAGCGTCAAATTTTACTACAAGATGCTGTGATAGTCATATATATTTGAAATTAGATTTCTGTTTAATTCAGATAAGACTATTTTTCGAAAACAATGATTATTTGTATAAAACTCGACTAAAGCTGTTCGGAGTCGAGGAATTCGAATCTTTAATCGATTTTTTGAAATTCTTGAGTTTGATTTTTTTGACGATGGAAAGTCTATATCAGATAAATAGTTTTCTTATGACGTTTTTTGGTTTTGATTAAAATCTGTTATCAGTACAGTAATATTCTTTCTTTAAAAAAGTAATTATAAATTTGAATAGTACGTTAATTTTCTAATATCTTCTATCTGGTTAGCATCGAATTACCATTATTTGTTAATAAATATATTAAATATGTTTTTATTGTATCCACATGTTCATATTATCAGGGACAACAGCAGTACATCTTTTTTTTTTTGTTATCTAATAATTACATAACTTGTATGAATAATTAACTACCTTTAAGCCAGAATCTCACTACTACGAGATGTGAGGTTGTATAACCATTAAATTAAAAAATACGTGCTACACTTATTTGAAGACATATAAAATATAATTTCTAAAAATGTGAGGATATGAATATAATAGAAAAAGATCTGATATATTCATCAGCAAACAACGGTAAGTCAAGACGAACAAGATAGAGAATGTTACAGGGCTTAACACTGTTCAAATTTCTAATTACTTTTTAAAAAAAGATTTTACTATACTCATAACATATTTTAATCAAAATCAAAAAAGCGACGTAGGAAAGTAGTTTGTGCAAATCTGAAGATGAGGGTGCCTCCACTATAGTCGGAATATTTTTCAACAATTTAATGGACGTCTAAAACCAAAAATACAGGTTTGTAGAGAATTCCGAGCGTTATCAGAATATATGATTATCCTTTCGAAAACTTAGTTTTATGCTGGAGATATATTCAAAATATTGACTACAACTATTTGTTTCCAAGCATATATATATATAAGACAATGAAGTCATAAGAAAAGCTGTAAAAGCTAATGTAAAAGACAACTGTCAAATATAATGAGAGAATTTCTATTTGAAAATAATATAGACAAAATAGATTATATCATTATTTTTTAGATGGAAAAACATTATTATTCTTAAATTATTTTTTAATCAACATATATTATGCGAAGATCATTCATTTTTGTTATTCTACGAATAAAAAAAAAACAAATTCATTTCTTCCCCATTGTCTTTACATATAACTAGAATAAGAAAAGAAAATTTGTCAATCAAAAATGTTATTCCTATGCTTTGTATTCCTTTCTCATTTGAGTTTTATATTATTACAAGGTATTACGAATAGTAAATCTTTAGTGAATGTACCACAGGGGGAAACAGCTGATTCTGTGGTATTAGAATCACATGGAGACATTGAGATCAATCAAATTACTTGGAATCTGCTGTTTTTCCTTTGGTAATTCTCTGAAAACATCGTAAACCACTCTTTGTTTTCATTTGACTGATACAAAAGATCATTGTATCTAATTATAATAGTCAATATTAGGGCTGGAAAGTTACCCTTACGTTACCAATTACTCATTATCAGGTAACGGAGAATTTGTAAGTTTATCAAGGAAAGTCTATTTTTCAAGAAACCGATTATAGATTCTTTTTTTTTTATAACTTATAGGTTAAGCAACGATGATTACTTAACGAAACATGATTGATAAATTTTTCCTTAGCGTTTAGTTCGCTCAAGTTGTATTATATAGACCAATTTTTTTTTGAAACACAGACAGATAGAGTTCAAAAAATCGTAGGCATGTACAGTTTAAACGGATTTGATTTCTTCGCTTCATGAAAGTCTCTACGCGAACAAATGCTTTCTATTGTTCGATAATTCGATTATCGATCATTGTCTCTGCGAATAGATGATTCGATCTGTTTGTTCTAATATCTTCCAAAAATAACTATTCCCACATCTAGCCGAATTGTTACTGAATAATAAGAGATCCGTGATAAATTCTAAGGTTTTGAGCATATGTAATTACGAATATCGAGTTTTTTTATTAAAAGAGGACAATAATACAACTACTGGAACGCCTACTACAAACGGTACTTCGACTACTCAACCACCATCATCTAATCGTAGATGCCTATTGGAGTGGACTTCTTTGTTATTTTCTTGAATGGCAATCACGAGATGATAAATGTTTAACATAATGTTATGCAAAAAAGGATGAAATGAGTAAAGCTGGTTTTATATTCTATACCAGAGCTTGTCGGGTTCAAAATTTTTGGACCTGGACCCGACCGAGTCCAAATCTGGGATCAACTCGACTGTCTTTACTCGATACAGAACTGTATGGTGATCCAGCATAAAACTTTAATTGAAATGCATGTTGTCATTATCTGCAATATGTTTACGCTCAAGCATTGCCTGAACAACGAATTAATCTCGAACATTGTTATCATGATCGTTGTCTTATTGAATATGATTCTCTTTCAGATAGAGTTTTCTATAAAATTCGACCAATTAAATAGAAAAGCTTTCGGTTTTATTATTACTTCAAAACAAAAAGTTATTCATTCCACCTCATCTCGAGATACAAAAACCCAGTCTGATTCATCATTATCTGAGTGAGTAACTGTATTTTCGTTTGTGGTACGTTGTGGATTCTGATTGCTGAATTCCATTTTGCCGAATTTAATATCACGCGCCGTAATGTATCGATACCATTTTCCAAAATTGTGATAAAAAACTGAATCTTGATTGACTACAGCAAATAATTGCGGTCCTTGAACACTTATAGTTTTAAAGTAGATGGCGCCCGGACAGCCAGGACCGATACGATCCATCTCTTTTTTTAGTTCTTCCCATGATCTTTCGATGCCTAGTGCACGTTTTGGCATTGAATCAATTGCGCTTATGTATGAGAATTCGCAGGTATTCATCAATCAACTATATCAAAATAATTTAATATTAATGGTAATGTGGATATTGCTTTGACTTTTTCGTCTGAAACAATCAAAAGAAATAAAAGAAAAAATGTTTTTTTTACTGTGATATTCAAGTATATTGACATAAGATAATAAAAAAAGAAATAATGCGAGAATACCATGTTTGTCCGAAACGTATCTTATTTTTACATGCACTATTAATTGCTGTCTACTGCACGTAACGCTCACGGTGGGCAACCGATGCCTTTATCATTTATGATGCCAAATTCTATATTACAGGCAGTGATATAACAATGTCATTTGCCCTCATCATGATAGTAAACATTAATTCCACTAGCATCGACAGCAAATAATTGCGGACCTTCTACACTAATAATGAAATAGTGAGTGCTATCAGAGAAGCCAGGTTCTTCTCTATCTGATTTTGCGCATAGCACATCCCACAACTGTGCAACGCCTAAAACCATTTTTTAATGCCATATTCTCTTTCAGTATAAGTAAATTGACAAGCATCCATATCGTTTTCGTACATTAGAATAATGTATACAGTCACATGGGACAAGAATGCGTGTAAATGTATGAAAAACAAAAAACATATTCGTTCTTTTTCTCTCATCATTGGAAACCACAATTGTGAGCGAAAAAACAACCATTTTGTTTCGTCATTTTATACGCTTTTTCGGCAGTTTATGACTACCTAGGTAGTAAAATAGATAAATTATGATAAGTTATGGACATTAATTTTCTATTTTTTTCACAAATTTCTTGATAATTTTAAGGTTTTTTCACGGTATGAGATGACTTTATTATACTTATTTTCGAATTTACTTATAAAAGCAAATTTTATGAGAGAAATATTTGTACCTTTACAAAAAACATGTTCCTTTACTTCTCTTGCAATGACTAATATGAAGTATTTATTTCGATATTAAAAAAAGAGCCTATTGGTTGTACTCACATGTTTATGTTGGAAGACACTATGTGGAAAAAAAAACTAATGATTTATTTTATTTATCGTACATATCATTTGAAAGTATCTACTGTAAAATTTATCATAGAAAAAAACTGAATAGTTTATAGGACAATAATCACTGTCATTTATGAACGTCTTTGTATATGAACACTTGAGTAGATGTTTGCAAAAAAATAATTTCAGAAATTAATGACTCTTTCGTAGAGTGTATTTGCATCGATATCATAAAGTTTTGTTCATTGACGATTAGCAGTGTCTTTAATATGAATATGAACCTTTAATTTTATATTACAGTTTGAAGAATCTATAAAACATATTACAAAAAAAATCTACAAAAAGAATAAAAACAAAACAATTGAATGTTAGATCAATTACCAAGCTCTGTAATAATATTCTGCAACCGGACTCGGTCCATGGATCGGAATAAAAGCTCGGCGGATCGGTTCGAGTCCAAGCATGAGATAATCCTCGGATCTAATGTAGTAAAGAATCATCAGAAATAACACAAAAATAACTGATAACGATAAATGAAAAAAGAAAAGAAACAAAAGAGAAAAACATGGTGATATAACAAGTAGATGATGTATTAAAAGAGTTCATTTCAAATGAAAATTCATCTACAGATAATGATGATCCATATGATAAAATACTTGAATATATGACAAAAAAAGTAATTCATCAAAAAGGTGAAGATGTGTTATCGTGATAGGAAAATATTCATATACATATCTGATTACAATTATCACGTTTACCATCAAAACTGCTTCCATTCCAGCATCGTCACCAACATACGCACATGTATTCAGCGAAAAAAGGAAGAATTTTAGAAGCACAAAGACAACAAATGGAATCCTGAATTATTTGATTTATTTGTTTTTCTTGAGAAATTTTAGATGACTTTTTTGTTGTTGTTAATTGATGAAATTAAAATAACAATATACTTAGGTCGATCCAATAGTAATGAGAGTGATGCTTTAATGTCTTACAGTAAGCTGAAGGAGAGTTTCTTTTCGTATGAAACGATAGAGAAAAAAAACGCCTGTTAGACTTTTCTAGTCCACAGATTTTCTAGTGATAAGTAAAACATAAAGCTAAAAGCATTTGATCGTTATCCTTGTAAGTCATATATCCAGATAATCGATTTCCTTTTGAATGATAGAACGCATGATTCAAATTAATATATTTACGGTAATTCCCTGATTGAACGAATAGAGTTGTGAAAGAAAATTTCTCTATTTAAAATCATGCGTATAACGATGAGTTTTTTTATTTTTCAGATCATTCATAATTTAATTAAATACAAGCGATGTGTGGTAATTGTTTTTTTTACATAAAAACAAATTTTGAAAGCTTACGATTTGACATGAGCAGAAACTAATCTTCTTCTTTAATTCAGATTCCAGTTGTAGTTCCATTTGAAAGAAAGTTAGAGTTATGTTGCCAAGCTTAACAAAAATTTTGTTAGCATAGAACTGAAAACTATTCATTATTACTGTGTATATAAATTAAAAAAAAAAGTTTCCTTGTAGTACTCTGAAAAATTTAGTTTCTAATATTTTCTTTGTTGAATGTTTGATTTAATTTGAACAGGATGAGAAGTCGTTTTTCTCCTTGTCTACTTGTGATGTATTACAAATTCAATTGTATAATATTAATAATTTATTTACTTTTAAGGATATTTTAATGCAGCATCATTAGCAACATCTGATGCAACTAATATGACACTTCAACGTCAAATAAAGCAAATACATGAAATAATTGTTGATCATAAAATGAAACATTTATCAAATTTATCAATATATCCATTGAGTCATTTAGTGAATTTTTTTAGTCATATAACGTCATCACGTTATAATATTAATACACCATTATTAAAACCATTTTTTGAACGTTTAAATTCATTTAATAATCAAACATTATTCAGTTTACTTGATGTAAATAATTTATGATTATTATTTTCTTATTCAATAAAATCCACAATCCAACTAAATCCTACATCTATACCAAAAAGACATTTAAATCTAAAAATAGTATTAATCACAGACTACATAGCAAAATATGCGATCGACTCAATTTTCAACCTGAACAAATACGAAAAGAGAGGCTCTTTGTTGGAGAAACTACTTGAAATCTGATTTTTTTAGGACTGAAAAAGTAAAAAACACATACAAACACTTTTCATCAAGGAGGAAAAAGCGGATCCTAATGAATCTTCCTGGACTCTGTAGATCCTTGTAAATGTTGGTTAGGGATGGCACACTTACTTTACCTAGTAGTTACTTGACTACAATAAAGTAACTTCTGTAGTTACTTTTTATTGCTCCTAGTTAATTAGGGTAGTTACCGTAGTTACTTTCAAAAGGTAACTACCATAACTACTATCAATTTACAAAGTTAGTGATCTTCATTGGAAGTTACATAAGTTTCTGCTGGGTCCTCAAGAGTTACTATATGAAAGCATCTTTGGGTCATTAACAGCTGTTATACACAAGTACTCTTAGGTTCTCAACAGCTAATATATGGGGATACCCTTGGACCCTCGAGACCTATTATATGAAGATACCCTTAGGTCTTGATGTGCTGTTACATAGAGATAACCTTGGGTCCTCAGCGGCTATTATATGAAGATGCTTCTGGAACTCAAGATTTGTTATATGCTAATACTGTGAGATCATCAAGGTATACCGTCTAAGAATGCTCATGGATCACTGGAGGAAGGCAACGATGTTTATATTTGCAATGGTATTGATGCTATTACTATTGTGAGCTTACATAGGGACACCAAACTTGAGTATTTAAAAAAACTGATCATAGCTCGGAACTCGTTAACGCCACGAAGCTTTAACCAAACTTCCTGAAAAACCTATCTTTTTCAACAAACAGTCTTCACTAGCAAAAATAAAAACAGCAGTAAAATTATTGGTGCAAAGGCTTTTGTTCGCGCATTTTTTTTTGTCAAGGAAAGACTATTCTCCGAAAACGTTGATTCTACCAAAGTTTTAACGCCTACTCTCGGTATTCAGAAATTTCAATGACGCAATAATGTTTCAAAATACTCCACTTTGAGATTCCTCTGCAAGCAAAGAGTACCACTGCTACGAAAATGGTGTTGAAATTGGAAGTACAAAAATTGTGAAATCTCTTTGCTGATCGATGGATGTCCACTTAAAATAGAACATAACCATTTAATATACATTTACATAATGGAAGATGAGGACTTCAGGATGCCTCCGTATTGTAGTGCATGAGGATGCAAGGGTGTCTTCATATAATAGGTCTTGAGGACCTGGAGTACCGGAGATGGGCACGGTCCGAGTTTTTCAGAATTTAAACCGAAGCAAAACCGAAATGTTTAAAATCGAACCGAAATCGAAAGAAATTTGAGAACTTCTGAACCGAACCGAAGTCCAAAATTTTTGAACCAAACCGAAAAAAAGAGATTTGTTAAACGTTCATCAGAGATCACTGAAATGATCTAAATTTTGCTCCGGCTGATGCATCCTATTTTAAACAATTGCCATCTGCATCGTTAGTCTATTATAAAAAAAAAAATTTCCTATTAGAAGGTCTCTCCGTACCAAAAGATTCACGAAGAAGCGATGTCTTAGATATACATGTAATAGGCAACTTTTCTTTAATTATTAAATTATTTGAGAAATGATTACTTTAGTCGATATATTTAATCGGAAATATGTATAGTGTTCAAGGTCTTCAACTGAAATTTATGAAGACTGAATATACAATAATTTCTGCATATTTTAATTTTGAAATGCGGTTTCTTAGATCTTTTTATTTATTTATGACTAAAACAAAGCAATATAATAAAAGTTTCTCCGTCATCAACAGGAAACAAGTGACTTTTTATTAGTTCTGACAATTTCTATCAGTAGAAATCAGTTTTTAACTATTTATCGTAAATCAATAGATATCATTGGATCAGAGATGAGCACAGGACAGGACGGTCCTGGTGTCCTTGTGTCCTGTCCTGTCCTGTCCTGCAGGACAGGACGCGATTTTGATTTTTGTCCTGTCCTGCCGCCCGCCAGGACAGAGATTGTCAACAGGACAAAACAGGACAGGACGTGATTTTGATTTTTGTCCTGTCCTGCCGCCCGCCAGGACAAAGATAGAGATAATAACAGGACGGAACAGGACAGAAAAATTCCTCGTGTGAACTTTCTCGTTTTATTGTTATTGATATTTTTTTTTAAACGACCGTCATTTTCGACGTGTCACTTTTTAACACTCGACGTGTGCTGTGAGTGATAAATATCGCTATGAGAATGAGTCATAACACTAATTCAAATATTCGTTGAAAAAAAGGCTACCAATCAGACGTAACCATTAATGACTCAGAAATTTTCAGTGACAATACAAAGAGAAAGCAACACGAAACCAGTGTTCTTTGTTTTTTTCGCCATGAATGTGTTGTATTTTACTTTGTATTTTATGTTTCGATTTATTGACTCTCAAAATAAATATTCAGCATGAGCAGTAGTAAAATTTCATTATCGTCGAACACATTAAATTTCTCAAAATTTGACAATTATCTAAATATGAAACTCATAAATATAATGTTTTGTAAAAAAAAAAAGAAACATCATTGATAGGTTTGTCGGGAGTCTTTCGTTATGCAGAAAGATTAGCTGAACATAGTATAGTTCAAAGAATGCCAGGATATACTAGTTGTTTCAATTATTATAGTACATTTATTCATGAAAATAGTTGTCTTTTGTGATAACAGCGTAAGCTGTTGTTACTTTTCATAGATAGTATCTAGTATAAAATAAGATAATGATATTACAATGAATTATGTTTATTTTTTCTGTATTTTTTTTCTTGCCATGAATGTGCTATCAAAATATAAAATAAAGATTTTGTTATATTTTTTTGTATTTATAAAATAAGTGATGATCTGGAGTGTATTTCTTGTATTTGAGGATAATAAACGATAAATTAGGTCTAACGTGAATAATAGTAATATTTGATTTGATCAACGATAGGGATGTGCCCAAAGAAAAAAATTGAGAGATCCTAAGTATAGATTTTTGTACTCCCCTCAGGACAAATTTCTTACATTGAGATTTTAAAATAAACGCTCTAGTACGGTTTTACTGTAGCAATCCACTACTTTTCAAAAGTGAGACGATCTGGACCTCCTATCCCCTTGTTCGCACGCCCCTGATGAACGATAGTCAGATTAACGACTCTCATCACCGACTCACTGCCGTTCGATAAAAGAGGAATGAATTAGCAAAACAAACTAGGACAAAGTTGTCATGTATTATCCTATCACCCGTCGGGACATAAAAAGTCAGCAGGACAAAGCAGGACAGGACAAAAACAGGACAGGACGCGATTTTGATTTTTGTCCTGTCCTGCCGCCCGCCAGGACAGAGATTGTCAACAGGACAAAACAGGACAGGACGCAGTTTTGATTTTGGTCCTGTCCTGCCGCCCGCCAGGACAGCACCAGCTAGCAGGACAGGGCAGGACAGGACGAAAAATCTTGTCCTGTGCTCATCTCTGCATTGGATGTACTTATAAACTAAGATAAATCATGAGAACCACTAAAAGACAAGAGAAACTCTTGAAACCTTGAAAGTTATCAAAAAAAAGTAAAATCGATTGAAATCATTAAAAATCAATGGGAATCAAAGCTTTATGTTTTAACCATATTACAGGTGATTTTAAGTCAATTACAATGATTTCCAGTGATTTCTAATGATTTCTGTTAGTTTCTAATAGCTTCTAACGATTTCTGATTATTTCTCATCACATCCTGTCATTATTTATATCTTTAATGCGCTTATAGTATGTCATGATTTTCAGTGTTTTGTAAGAATTTTTAGTAACAAAAATCAGTTTGTTTCGCTTTGTCTGAAATATTTATCCACTGGCCTATAACAGAATATTCGACACCTCATACTACAAGGAAACGAAGAAAGCTATTAAATATACATAATTATCTGTGTAAAAATTCGTATTTTTTCAGTTATAAATTATTTATACTTTATTGGTGATAAATAAATAAGAAGTATCTATATCATATTAACTAATGGTTATTAGATACTTTTCTCCTTCAAGAATATATTTAGCTCGTTTATGTTTTGTTTTTCTTAGACAAATAAATATAAGAACATATATGAATACTTTCATTGTTTCTAATAATATCTTTTTTATTAACTTTTCTTGCTCTATTTATCGAAATATTGATCTTAATCGTATTAATTGAGCTCAGAAACGAACCGTACCCATCTTTGTGAGGTATTCCATATAGCAGCTTTTCAAGACCCAAGGACACCTGCATACAATAGGATATGAGCACCTAAAGGTACCATCATCTACTAGCAGAAGAAGACCCAAGGGTACCTCTATACAATAGCAGATGAGGACCGAAGGGTACCTGCAACAGATGGCTTTTTAGGACCCAATGATGCCTCCATATAATAACTCTTGAGGACCTAAGAGTACCTCCATATAGTAGCTCTTGAGGATGTAAGAATATCTCTATATAATAGCAAATGAGGATCCAATGGTACCACAATATACTAGCTCTTGAGATCCCAAAGGTACCTCTATATAACAACAGATGAGAATCCAAAAGTATCTTCATATGATAGTTCTTGAAGTCCCAACAGTAACTCATGTAGCTTCCAACGACGATCGCTAACTTTTTAAATTGATAGTAGTTATGATAGTTACTTATTTACTAGTAAAGTAAAATGCCACCCCTAGTTTAGAACAAAGTTTATGCTCATAAGTATTAGTAGACTTTGATACATTCTAATAGATTCCAATAGATCGTATGGATCCTAATCGATCCCAGGATTCACAGGCACCGCTTTTTCCCCTTTGGTCTAATGAGTCTGTACGTTTATGCTTTTACTGCTTGAGTAGACAACACTATTACATCTACAAATTCCTCTTTTTCATCTTACATTAGGAAATATTTCTTTAGTTTTCGATACGCTGTGTAAACTTTTATTTTATCTTATGCTAAACACAGAAGACGATTAATTGAAGAACATAAATCGTCTTCAATAAAAAACAATGAACATATGTTTATTAATTCATTTTACCTTTCTTATTCTTCTATTTTGTAGTGTATAAATAATTGTAGAAAGCATTTAATCACTAATGGCATTATTTAGTCTTAATTATAAAACTATTAAGGTTTGAAATAATACTATTAAACAATTTTTTCTCATGTTACTTTTGATTCTCAGTGCTAATTTGTATTTTTCTATTGCATGATATATAAACAATTCTAAATATTTATACAGTACATAAACTCTGCTGTACAAGTATATAACAATCTTAAAACAATATTCTTTACTTTTAAAGCACGAATTGAAAATAAAAATGGTCCCGGAATAATAGTGTATTATTATACTAATGTCTGTTGACATATGCTAAGCTGTATTTCAATTTGTGCTCGTAATACTTCGTACATGTGAAATTACATTCTCTATTCAGGTTTTTCTTAATCTTAAATTATCTTTAGATTCATTTCATAAGATTTCACAATTTTCGTCCGTATATATTTATAACTCCTCATAAAATGATAAGCAAAGACGACTATCACCTGAAAAAATCAACTAACTTTTACAGTCTTGCTACTTTTAAGTAGATTTTACCGTTGAAAAATAGAATCTTATTCTATTTGTCATACGTAATTCAAACCACAGAAACATGAATAAAGTTATTTAGCACTTAGATTATTAATACGATGGAAAGTAATCAATAAGAGATTTTCAATCTAATAGATATTTTATTTTATCTTAAAAATAATTTGTTTCTAGAGAAGTAGGTCAACACTAGAGATACAAGACGCAATATGAAAGATTGTGTGGTCGAGTTTTAGAAGCAAACAGTTAAGGACGTCATACTTGACATGTTTCTGTTTGTTTCTTTATAAATTTTGGTTTTACATGTAATTCAGATCCAACATAAATTATATATTATTACATATAGAGACTAAAAAAAGTGATAAATCAATATTCTTATACAATATCAATTTGAACATGTTTTTTGTCTAACAAAGTGTATTTATATACAATCCAACAACAGTTAATCGATATACAGAAGAATAAATCGTTTAATTCTTTAATTATAACACTTGAGAAGATATGTACATTTTTATTCGAATGTATCCAACAAAATCATTTGATCAACACATTATTTTTGATTATTTATCAAAATAGTTTTTTTTTTCTTTGTATAACAAAATTTTTTCTGACCAATTATATTTATAGATCTATTCTGTCTGAATGGAAATAAGAAAAAAAAAAAAAAAAGACTATTTCGTGACTCGACAAGTGGTCTCACAACTACCAGATGGCCAACGAAGAAACAAAGAGCAAACTCTACTCAGAATAATAACTGTTGTTCTTCTCGTGAGTAACTTCTCACATCAAAAAAACAACAAACGAAAGTAAGGTGCGTCATTGCCATCCGATTACCATCTGTTATCTCGTCTAATCGATCAGTTCAACATACAATATTGAGTGACCGAGTTCCGCCCTCCATTTTTTTAATGTTCTCTTGAGAAATGTACGCATACATTACGCCTCGTTTTTTTTTTCACGTCAAAATTAAAAAAATAACGAGAAAGACAAAGTATCGAGGGACTCATCATTGTGGTCTATTGCAATACAGGTAAATTGATCGATGAGAATACTTTCTCGTTTGTTTTCTTCTTTCCATCTGGTCATAAATACATATAAAGACAAACGAGAAAAAGAAAATTGTTGTTTTTGTTTCTTTTTTTTTTTTTTTCATTCATTGCTTGAAGCTATTCGCCGACAAAATGATTGACACAATCTTTTTGATTCGTTTTCCAACTAACACCGAATGTCAACAAATTCCATAACTAAACCTTATGCGTCTTATCATAATAAGACGAACATTACCAGAGAGAATGACACATGTAGAAAGAAAGAAAAAAAAAAAGAGAGTAATCAATACGGTCGAACAATTATGATAAGCAATAGTCGTATGTTCTGCTCTTCAAGTGTCATCTGAGAATACTCTCACAAACGGACAATGTCATATAGACATAGCAACACTACTATAGAATCGATTCGTGACGTGACAAACATGAATGAATGCGTTGGGCGTGTTTCACCAACCACCACGACTACCATCATCATCATCATCACCATTCTCATCCTCACTTTCATCGCGACAGACAAGAAACAGAAATGAGATCACAATTATTAGCAATAGTTTTCATAAATGAAAGAAAGGAAAGACAAATTCCATCTGGTCATTTTCTCATTTGAACACAAAACAGTTGAAAACTAGTTTACTTCAAGCAAACACATCATCAGTCGTAGAATACACACATACACCTTTTTTTCCGATCTGATGCATAACAATGTATTAAAAATTGATTCTCTTTCTCACCTACGCGGCTGTCTATGTTTTGTCATTGCCTTTAGGGCAAGTATACAAGGATTGTATTTTTTTTTTTGAGTTAATGAGAAACGGAAATCTCACATTACAACAAGTACCTAAAAAAATAAGATCAAAGAGGTAAATGATGAGTACATATCAAATAAAATTGAAAAAAGAAAATGATTAACTTGTAAAATAATATCTATATAAACTATTCGTACAAATAAAATATTCTTAATATTTTAATCTTTTATTAGATAATTAATCTAAGTCGTTTCTTTCCTTTTCTTTTCTTTTTGGTTTTTTAATAAATTCAATATACGCACCACTCAATAAATTATCTTTTTCTTTTGTCATCTTTATTGTTTGTTAATTTTGAATATAAAAATAACCTGATGAAAGATGTAAATGTCGTTTTCTTTCTTTCTTTTGTGTTCACATATTCTTTATTTAACATGCAGAGAGAAGCAACATAAAAGAATAGAAAATACCGTGAATAGTTGATGATGCTTATTGTGCACCGTTCATTTGTTTAAATGGGCTTTTACGAGTATTAACTTATTTATATCATTCTTTTTTTTTTTCTTCTATTACCTATCTCATTGCCCGACAACAAAAAAAAAACCGAAAGAATTGAATTCAATTGAATTAAAGCAAGAGAGAAGATAATACTTATATAGAAAAAGAACATCTAACTGATCGTCGTCTTGCGTGTCGCTTGCGCTTGGGGAAATCTTCTCTCCTTACTCTGTTAAAGATGACAGACAGATGTATGAATGTTATGTTTTTGTTCATTGGTTGAAGAGAAAAATATTTAACCAATAGGAGAATTTTTCTTCTCTGTTTGCAGGTAAATTTTCCTCTTTTTTTTTTCTTTCTCTCATATTTAATCGTAGAAAAAGGGTTTTTTCTCATTTTTTATTTATCATTAATCACTCACGGAACGACCAGCAGTAACACATAAGAGAAAAAGAAGAAAAAGAAGAAAAAAAAAAAACTCATACCTTCACTATCACGACCAAAAGAAACTCGTAGTAGTGCAAAGACCAACAACAATAAATATTCAACACATTGATTATATCTTTCTCTTTCTCTCTCTAATGTGAGTGAATGAATGAATATTGATAAATTATTATGATTGAATGCGTTTCTTCGTTTTTCTTTTTAACTATGTATATATTTATTTATTATTTAGTACATACATAAAACAACATCAACAAAGATATATATATATCTATATATATATATATATAAAATTATTGAAGTTTGTCAAGAATTATTTCGATTCATTGATAATAATAATGAAAAATTAACAGACAAGTAAATTATTGATTAATTCAAATGAATATTATAAATAAAATGCTTACGAATACAAATACATCATCTATTGAATCGATCACATCAAGTAAACATTCATTTCCAAATACATCAACAGGAATAACAAATTCAAATTCAATTGGAAATACCAATAGTCGATATTCACCTAGTAACTTTTATCGAGCTGCAGCTGTAGCTGCTGTTACAAGTGATCCTAATAATCGACGATATATGCCAAGTACACCAGTATGTTATTACTTGGCTTTTTTTTTTGAATAAAAAAAAAACAAAAAGATATAAACGTTTTTTTTTTCTCTTATTTTTTTTTCTAGTGGTCAAAATCGAATTGTTTTGGTGATAGTTTTAAACTTGAAGCCAATGTAAGTATTGAAAAAAAAACAGAAAGAAATAAAATAAAATAAAATAAAAAATAATTTTTATCTTTTAAATAGAGTTTATTTTGTCCAAATATTGATGATAATTTTCTTCGTCAAGCTGAAGCATTTGCAAAACCAGAATCATCATCACTTTATTATCCATCACCATTTGCTTGTTCATCGGCAACAGCAAGTGCATCATCATCATCAACAAATGTTTATCCTAGTACATCATCAATAGAATCTCATCTTTTATCTGATCAAAATCAACATAATCATCATAGTCAATTAAGTTCTGATTTACATCCATTTTATCAACGTCAATATGCTGCTGTAGCTCATCATCATGCTGCAGCTGCTGCTGGTGTTTTACCAAGTATGGTTGTTGGTATGCATCATCATAGTGTTGTTGGTAGTTTTGTACCACCACATGAACTTGATGTTGATCCACGTGAACTTGAATCATTTGCTGAACGTTTTAAACAACGTCGAATTAAATTAGGTGTTACACAAGCTGATGTTGGACAACAATTATCAAAATTAAAAATGCCTGGTGTTGGATCATTATCACAATCAACAATATGTCGATTTGAATCTCTTACTTTATCACATAATAATATGGTTGCATTAAAACCTGTTCTACAAGCTTGGTTAGAATTTGCTGAAGCAGAAATGAGACAAAGAAAAAAAGATGAAATGAATGGAACGATGATTGGTATAAGTGGACATATTAGTTCAAGTGGAAGTTTAATTGATAAAAAACGAAAGCGTACATCAATTGCAGCACAAGAAAAACGTTTTCTTGAATCATGTTTTCTTCAACAACAAAGACCGAGTGGTGAACGTATTGCACAAATAGCCGATAAACTTGATTTAAAGAAGAATGTTGTACGTGTTTGGTTTTGTAATCAACGACAAAAAAACAAACGTTTACGATTTGCTGCTGGACAATCATCATAATAATAAATTTAAAACAAAAAAAACAAAAAAGATCAAATCAATCCGTCCATTTCAATGAGTTTATACATTCTTTTTCTCGTCTTTTTTTTTTTTCTTTGTCGTTCTTCTTTTTTTTGCTGTTGTCTCTTATGTTGTTGTCTTCTTTTTAGCAGTTAATCTTTATTTTCTAGCACAAAGTGTATAGTCTTTGTTCTAAAACAATATTGATCAATTGAAATTTACTAATTTTATTTTATTTTTTTTTTATAGACAATTAATTGACAGCATTTATTCACATAATCTATGAAATGTACAACGTATATATATATATATATGTGTATTAATTGGAATTTTCTGTTACAGGAGAAATATGTTGCTGTTTTGCTATTCGTTGAATAAATTCGATAATAGACATTTGTAGACGTACATCTAATGGTTTATTAGTAGCATACATATATGGTACACCAGCTTTTTCTAATCTTGTTTGTTGTTCTAACATTTTTTGATCAAGATCTAAAACTATTGACATATCAAAACGTTGTTGTTCATCGGCAACTCTTTTAAGAAATGCCTATGAATTAATAGAAATTTTATTTAAAATATTTTAGAAGAAAATAAAAAAAAATTCAATACTTCAAATTCACGTTTATTTGCTGCGTGAAGAAGATTTAAATGTTGTGGTCTATCAGCACAACGAGCTTCATCTTCAGAATGTTTTCGAATTAGATCAGCTTCTTGATCTAAATAAAACACAAAAAAAAAAGAGAGAGATTCGTTTTTTTTCCCCTCAAATAATCATAATCAATTACCTTTAGCTTTTTTAATTAATTTTTGCCGTTCATTAAATAAATTTTTTTCAGAACGTGCTTGACTTTCTTGAAGATTATTAACAATATTAAATATACTTCCATCAAGTAATAATGTTACTAATTGATCACTTAAATTATCTTTTTCAAAACGTTCTTGTAATTTTCTAAATGAATAATAATCAAATTTAATCTCAATTTTGAAGAATAAAATAGAATTAATTATCTTACGATGGTAATTCAGTTATCATTATTTGTAATTGTTCAAGTATTTGTTCACGATTCATATTTATTTTATATAATTCTATAAATAAAAATCAACAGAACGTTTACATAAAATGAATACATCTTAATTGATTCAGTCAACAATTATGAAAAATACTTATGAATAAATTACAATGACATTCCAGTGATTGCATGACCTTAAGTTTTACCTATGAGAAAAAAAAATCCCCTAGTGTCGGTCTTCGTTTTCAATCAACTTTATGTTAGTTTGTTGAGCTCGATGTACTAATCACGATGGTATAATGCATTGTTTCCCATAAACTTTCTGTGAAGAACTAAGTCGATCTCAACTTCCAAAAAAAAAAAATTACTAAAATCTTAATTTTTTTACGTTAGTTTAGTTCTCAGCATTGAAAAGTTTAATACCAGATGCGTCTTAATTGACTTTACACATCCATAAAATCAACCTATATAGAAGTTCCACCTACGCTTATCCTCTGAATATTTCTTTATAGCATTAGTCGAGTGGATGTACGGGATTCAACATTTTTTTTTTCTTTGAAAGCTGATCATGATTCTCTGGGAACACTATTTCAGAGAGAGATAGTAATTAGATCCTTGTCAGATATCTTGTTTTCAATATTCTACATTCTATTTAGTTGTTTTGATCGCATGTTTACATGAAAAAGTGTAGTAGATAAAGCCGATTATTGAAAACATGATCAACATTTTTTTTTAATATATATACTTAATAGATGAAGATACTATTACATTTTGACAAAAATTGTTGAATGTTGTACACCCACACCTTTATTTATATTGAAATGTTCAAAGCATAGACGTGGTTCAAACTTCTATTTATGTTGATTGTGTGAATGTATACAGTCAATTAAGACACATTCAATGTTGAAACTGTGAATGTTGAGAACTAAACTCATATAAAAATTAATATTTCAGGATTAACAGCTCTATAGTAGTAGTTCTTCTAATGTTGAGGTCCACCTATCTTCTTAAAGACAGTCTATTGGGAAAAAAGAACATTCTATGTCATCACGATCAGTACATCGAACTCTATAAATTGACATAAAACCGATGGAAAATGGACACTTACAATTGGGAATCATCACTCGTTAGATTGAGAAGTAAATAAAAGAAAAACAAATATTTTTTTGTTGAAAATAATTCTTGTATAATGATTTTTTTTTTATTAGAAAAACAAAAATTTTAAAATATAGAATCATATATGTTGAGCTAGTGTTAGCAAGCGCCTAAAACTAAACGATTGCGGCAAGCAAATAATGTGTTTTAAGGAGGACAAATAAAATATTTTAAAAAAGGCAAAAAAAACTTAAAATTATTGGTTCAAAACAAAAAAAGAAAAATTAATTCAAACACATGATTAAAATACAATCAAAGGAAGTTGTCATGCTAGTTTAAAAATAAATCAATAAAATATTACAGTCTAACTATTGATTTTTCAGCTTGTAATGCTTTATTGGCACGCTATTAGAAAAAAGAACATATTATATATGAAAAAATAAATTTACAAATATTTCATTTTCTTACTTGACGTCTTAATGCTTGATTTGATTCATAGAGAGCTTTAACTCGTTCGATTTCAACTTCATACGGTACATCCGGAATAGCAAAATCAATAAAAAATTTTATTGCCAAAAGTACATGCTAAATTAAATATAAAATATTATACAAGAGAATAATTCAATTTAATTTCATATATATACTTCAGCTGCAACAAAAATTAATATATATTCTACATCAGTATATGATGAAAAATATTCACGAACTGTTGGTTGCATAGCAATTAATGCTGTATTAGTAACAATTGCTATTGAACTTAATATATCGAATGCATAATGCCAACTACCAATATTCCAACTTTGTTGAGCAAATGGACGTTGATAAACATGACAATATTTAAAAGCATCACCACGAAGTTCAAATAGATTATTTACTAATGCACAAATTGTTACCCAAGGAAATACCTGAGATATGGATTTAAAAATAAAATCAATTTGTTTTTTTTTTTGTCAAAATGAAAACAGATAATTCTTTCAATATGAATCCAAGATAAAACAAGCGAGACTTTATATATGAATAAATCATTTACATTTATTTTATGTTAACTATTAATTGAATACTTAAATGTTAAATAATTCAAAAATTTTTATCCTAATAATTGATTTACTTTGAATTAAGTAATGATGTAAATGAAATAAAAATAATAGTATTCTATTTTGAAGAGAGAAAAGATATTAAGTGTTTTATTGAAATTTAAAAATTCGATTTATTTACTTAGAGTATGTCTATTTTAAGATAATAGCTAAATTTTAGAAAAATACTCTAAAATAGATTAAAACAGCCTCGTATCACGAACGAAAAAAAAAAACAATTTCGAAACATCTGTGCATTCGTATTTTTTTTTTGTCAAAAAATATTTTGAATATTTTGTTCGCATAATGGAAGTACCTTTTATAAGTTTTAATATAAGATGGTGAAAGAAAGTTTAATAACAAAGTATTATTTGACTTGTCTGTATAATTTTAAGCATTTAGCTCAAATTCAAGTAGTAATTTAAATAGTGAATGAAGTTTTCTATCTAATACATTTCATACCAAGATTTTACAGATAAACTATGATTGTAAGGTTTCTAAAAACAATCATGGCACTGTAGTTTTTAGACCTTAAAAGACTTAACAGTGCTATTCTAAAGAGCATAAAATGACGGATCACTGCATTTTCTACGATCTTCCCTTAAAAAGTTAAAGTATGATAAAAACCGCCAAAAAAAAAAACCGAAATTTATCAAAATTTTTCGGTTTTTGTCTTGCTTCTAAGTTTTCAAGGGAAGGTCGTAGATAATGTGGTGACTCGTTATTTTGTGTTCTTTAAAATGAGATTGTGAAAAAAATAATTCAGATAAAATCTTCTGGAACCTAAAAACTACCATGTCTGGTTTTTTAAAAACTTTATCATCATAGTTCATCTATGGAATCTTGATATAGAATGTATTAGATAGAAAACTTCATTTGCTATTAAAATCACTATCTGGATTTGAGCTAATTGCTTAATATTGCAGAAAAAAGAATGAGTTATTCTTTAACTTTTTTCCACCAGCTTATATATGAAATTGTTTCCTCACTTTCTCTTGAGAAGATCTAAGGGTAATACGAGTAATTTTTTCTAGGTATAATATGTATGCAACATATCTCAAATGAGTTGTGGCCTGTGTAATTCCGTCTGGAATCATCTTTCTCCTTCTAACTTTTATATATATCTAAAACAAAATGTTGTCATCATTACTTTCAGATCTTTTTAGAAAAATGAGAGTATCATTTTCTATATAAACTCCTGTATCTTTTGAGTTTTAGTCAAATTTTATTAATTTTGAAAAATAGACTTTTCTTAATCGAAATCGAATAGTATTATCCTTAACAGAGATGGATCTAGTCTAGATTTTTAAAGATCGGTATCGATCCTATTCCCTGACTCGTATCTCTACCACAAAATCACTTAATATTAAGTAAAGTAATGGTTAATATGAAAATTTAAAATTAATATTAACAGTTAAGTGACCCATTAATCACCAATATTAACGAAATAAATAGTGTCTATTGTTGGTTTTCCAATCTCATGTTTAAATAAAGCTATTGAGCCTTTACTTTCATTATGCCACATTAGAAAAAAACTCCTTCCACCCGTTTGGATCTATTTCAAATTATGCTTGAAATAGATTAAGTATCATTTATTCTCCTTGAACATAATTTCATCTTTAACTTACTGCTGAAAATAAAGCTACATAACCATATTGTTCAAATATAGTTACATAATCTCCATATGTTCCCTATAAAAATATTTCAAATATTGAAGATAATATAAACTATATTAAAACATACTTGAAATGGTGTTAACGTTTTTAATTGTCTCACAGCACTGCTTACTTGAGCATCATCTGATCGTTTTTCAATTAATTGTTTTTTTTTCTGAAGCTTCCATAAATATGGAATAATTTGTTCAGTAAATTTCAATAGTATAGCATTAACAATAACCATGGATGTTAGTAACTAAAATGAAATATTGTTATTTTTTATAAATATGAAAAAACAAAAACACTTAAAATGAATCATTTACTTGTGTAACATTTGCAAAATTAGCATTAAAAAATGCTTGATAAAATAAACCAACAAAACAATTTATAAAAAAAAAGATGAATAATTTTGATGTTAAATTATTCTCATAAGATGATTGAAGACGATGATTTTCTACAAAAATAAAAACAAAAAAATTATTTTCTTTTTTTTTTTTTCTAGGATTAAAATTCTTTTATCTACCCAAATCTGTTAAAAATGTAGCTAATCTTTTATACGCTAAATTAACTGGCCCAATCAATAATGAATAACCAAGTGATGGAGCCATTCGCATAGATTTTGCATGAATAAATAATACTGAATCATCGAATGGATATTTCTCATCTGTTGATTGTTGTATTCCACAATAAGTAAAATACATTATTAATGATATAGCTACACATACTAACATTAATGGATAACTAACTAAATATTTTTTTAATAAATGTTTCCATCTAAATAGAATAAATAAGAAAATTCATCAAAATAATAGATTTATATATATATTTTTTTTTATTCTTACAATGGATACTGTGGTTCTTCTGTATTTGTAATTGGAGAAAGTTGTGGATCTCCATAATAGAGTGAACGAGGTCGTTCAAATATTTCTATATCTAATGTACCCCATTGATGAGCCAATTTATTAGTATAATTTTTCCATAGTTCCATCTATATTTAATTGTTTCTTTTTTTTTTTGTCAATAAGAAAAACAATAGAGAATAGATACTTACAACTATTGTCCACCAAATAACATTAAAAATACAGAGCGATGAATATTTAAAGAAATCGGAGCTTGACGAAAAACTAATTAAAAGACCTTCAAGAAAAAATAATAAGATATTTAATAGAACGAATGAGATGAAAGTATTTTTAAGCTAAACAAAGATAAGAAGTTACTCGCATGATAGTATTAAGAACTTGATTAATTTATTGATTATTATGTCCTATTATCTCAAGACAATGATCTTCGCTCGCTACAGAGGTAGAAACAAGGTTGTTGATATTTTTTAAAGGTGGGAGCGACTAAAAACTCGATAGAAAATATCTTCATTCTCGGAGTGCTAGAAGTGGTGACAGGAGGAGAGAACAAAACTCATCGAAACCCGGCCTCATTCACAACAGATGACCTGCCACCAGATTGTTCCAATCCTATTTAACGGCCAGCGACATTGTCTGCTTATTTTTATTTCATTTTCTGTTAGAGAAAGGCCAACGATGTTTCAAAATTCGGCTTCTATCCAAAGTTAGCACAAAATTGTAAATGAACTGGCAAACAGTCGGACATTTTGGAGAGCTTCTTCATTAATGAAGAACTCTGGAGAGAACTGGATCGGCCAGTGTACCAGCGACCAGCCGGTAACCGATGCCAGTTCTGCAGTATTCGTTACAGTCATAGGATTTTTAATCATCTAACTATCGAATCGATTATAAAAACACTTTTAGATAGATAATAATGGATGGACAGTTTTTATATTTCTTTTTTTTATTATCTAGTATCTTTATTTTAAAAACAAAATATACCATAAGATGCAGCGTGACAAGCTCTACAAGGTACATTAAAAACTTTATTTTATATATGTACTTTTTGTTTTTAAAATAGACAAAATTCTGTGTGACTAAGTTTCGATGCTGGGAATAAGACTATTAATTGACACACGATGAATTTCTTTTTTTATTTCATCAATTATTGAATCGTAGTTTTTAACTTTATTCCATTGCATAATATTGGCAATAGCGTCTCATACATAACAATCCAGAACATTGAGATCGGAACTATTCGGTGGCCATCTGTGATTGTTTATTGAAATCATCACCAAATATATATTGACCTTCAGCTTGTGTATGTAGAAGAATAACTTCTAATATAATTCTCAATGTGATAATGTTTCACCAGATTTAAATAGAATTGGAGACGTAAGATCATTTTCAGAAGTCCCTAACTACACCATAATTCTTTTTGGATATTTAACCTTTTGGTTTATGTATCTTGTCGATTTAGAGCATAAACACATTCTAATCAGAAATATTTTCGTTAGTGAATATAATTGTAGAGGTTTTCATGCTGCATCTTATGGTATATTTTGTTTTTAAAATAAACATATTAGACGATATAAAAAAAGAAATACAAAAATCGGCCATTCATTATAGGTTACCTATTGTTATATGATGTGGTTAACTGCTAACAAATAACAGAAAAATTCTTTATGGACATATTATTTTGTACATGTTAATGCGAAGATCTGACTGATGATAGATATCTTAAAATTCATTGTTATAAGTTTGTATCTTGTATATCTGAACAATGAACGTTGTTTTCTTTTTATCGATAAAATGAATCAGTTAATTTGATTATATTGTAAAATAGATATGCAATTTTCTTTTCAATAAAGAATAAAATGGATTGTATTGATTCATATAGAGAAAATAAGAATTATTTATTTAGTTAATGAAGATAGTTTTTCTATTAATTATATACAATAATAAACAAATGGATCTTTCGGATGAACTGATTCATTTTCAATATCTTGATTCAATCTAAGAACATCATATATTTGTCTATTTATACATCAAACAATTGTAATCATGATATTGAAAATAAATCGATGGATCTGACAGCTCAATTGATTTAACTAATTAAAAAAATCTATTTTCATCAAGTCCTATTAGATCTATTCTGATCATTGTTATCATAACCATTTCTACTCGTATTGAATTGAGTACACAATAAGAAAAATATAACACTGGAGACTTTTTTTCATGTACAAATCTCAAGATGTGTCCATAACGCATGACTTTTGTTCCATAAACAAGCATTTGAGATCTTACATGAGTTATGTACACAATTAAAGTAATTAATGCGTAAAACTTATGAACATCATATAAATGACGATACTTGGAATCAGACATTTAGAATCTACCTGTGTGCGCCAACAAGCGGTGAGGGAAATTTTAGAAGATTAGTTAACTATAGAAGAATTCGAATAAAGAATATAAGTATATGCTTCTTTTATTTAACTATACAATGTAATACGTTTTGAAGTGAAAATTGCTTCTCTTAATTGATGATTAATATTTAACTGTTTTTGTAGGTTAAATAAATCAATTTCTTTGAATATGCGAGTAGAAAAAGTGAATTTGACTTTTTCTTTATTTTGATAAGAGAGAAAATTTTTTCAAGGATTTATTTACGTTTGGGAAAATCTTTTATGTTAGAGACAGATTCTGAATCTCTGATTGGCATAATCAATTAGAGAAAAATAATAACAGTTGTTCTGATAAGGACGAAAGAATTCTCTTTGCACTGAAAAATGTCTACATCCCGTGTAGCTTCTGTTTTGATCTGTCTATTACAATCTTTAGTATTCAAACTATGCATTTTTATTAGAAGTTAAATACTTTTGAATGTAAAATTGAAAAATACGTATAACATTTAATTAAAAGTGGTTTCACGCATCATAGATATTTCTTTCATCGTTGTGACAGATGATAAAATCTCAGAAAGTATTATTATCACTAGTTTACGATCGAAATAAACTTATGATATTAATCTATGCAGTTCGTACTTCTTTCATACAATATTTCGTTTTTGATCACTCTTACAAGTGCTCGAACTTATCAAAAAAATCTCAAGATATATTCATAACAAATGACATTCTTGCCCAAGACACTCAAATGTTTCATGTGCATAAAAAGAAAAAGTTATTCGTTTCATTAATAGTTATCCTAGTAGTCAAACATCTCGTGATATGCTCATGAAGTACTTGAGCATTTGAAGCAACAAAACCGTTTGCTATGGACAAATCTTAAGGTCTACACAGGTCAAGAATGCAAAGAAAAAAAGTTCACCTCGAGTGCTTTGTTTTAAAGATCTTCAATATGAACTAAAGAAACTATCTACAATCTTTATGAAGAAAAAGAAAAATTGCTTTTTTTTTTTTGTATGATCTTTTTTCTTACCCAACAAAGCTGGTGGCACAAGTGCGTAAGTATAAAACTCCAAAAATGCAAAATAAAAAGCTACATTTTCACCAAAATAATCTCGAATTTTATCTATAATGAAAATAATTAAACATAATTAAAATTATTTTTTTTTTTCTTACTAATATCTTGTGGTTTAGATATTGATCTTACTGACTTAATCCAGGTATGTTCAAGTAATTTAAGTTCTTCTTTATCATGTAATGGAAAAATATTACCAATAAAATCAAGACTATGAAGAATATTAACTAATCAATATAGAAAATAAATTATTTTATTATTCAAAAAAACTATTTTTACATACGAATAGTATCATTTTTAGATGAAAATGATTTAGTTGGTACACCTGGTACAGTATGTTCATGTATCATTGGATGTAAATTTTGTATTTCTTCCCAAATTATTCGTTGTTTTTCCGATTTAAGTAATAGATTTTCGGGATTTTCTAACAACAAACAAAAAATTTTTTTTATTCACTAATTTAATTATAATAAACTTCTACCTGAATTTTCAAAATGATCAGTATCCGAAACAAGAAATTCAGTTAAACCTTTATTTTTATAGCGTTTTTTAATACGTAATTCTTCTGCTCCAATTAATAAACGACTCAAGGTCGCACCAATTAGAATTACTCTTTTCTATAAAATTAGAAATGAAATTTACTTTTAAAAGAAAGGAAGAAAAATTCTTACGTCACTTTCTGGATCAGTGTCATATCGAGCAAGTAAACCTGCACCTTGATCATCATTAGGATTTGCGGTTAATCGTTTTATAACCCATTCTTTTGTTGCCGGTGGTGTTGAAGATGAAAATTGAAGAACGACAAGAGGTTCAAAATCTTCGTTCTCGCGTGATGACATTAGATTGACAATTCAATACGTTGTTTCACCTATTAAGTTGACTATAACTATAGAGGGTATTCTAGAGAAACAAAACAGAACCTAACGACATTCGATGACTCATTTAATCATGTGATTAGTTATAAACAATCGAATGCAAAAAAAATAATTAAAATGAAAAAAAAATTTTCTTATTTTAATCAGAATAAAACTTCGATTTGTTTATATTTTATATTTTAAATAATATTTTTATATATAAATTCCTCCGATCAAACAAATAGACATGCAATCCATAATTTACCCATTGCTATAAAATCTCCACAGATAAACATAATTCATTCATTTTCAAAAAAAATTTTTTTTTTCTTTCCAAATAAAAATCTGCATATGATGTACATTTATATTTAAGACAGATTAGTCTGATTTATTTTGAAAGAAAAATTCTTCTACTGATGCAGAATTATTTTTGATAGAGTCCGATGATGATAAATGATAATTGAAGAGCATTTGAAGTATGAGACGAATGAACAACTACTTAAATTTTATTCAGGAATAAATAATGATAATTTTCTTTTTAAGCAGCAGTTCATTCGTCTTATGCATGTGGGCTCACATGATATCGATTATGAGATCTGAGGACTTTAAATATACATATATCATCTATTCGAACAAGTGAATCCAAACATATTTCTATTTTTTTTAAGATTAATATTCGACAATGAAACATAATAACGTCATACCAAATGCTCACTTTAATAAAAAGTGGCAATTACATGTTCGCACTTGGTTCGATCAAGCAGCTCGTAAAGAACGACGTCATCGAAAACGTTTAGTTAAAGCTCAACGTGTTGCTCCTCGACCATCTAAAGGTTCATTACGTCCAATTGTTCATGGTACAACACGTCGTTATAATATGAAAGTTCGTTCTGGACGTGGATTTTCATTAGATGAAATACGTGCTGCTGGTCTTCATCCAAAATATGCTCGAACAATCGGTATTTCTGTTGATCATCGACGACGTAATAAATCGACTGAAGCTTATCAAGTAATTTTTCCTTTTTTTTCAAAATTATAAAATAAAAATATGATCTTGTTTAACTTTTTTTTTTTCTAGCTCAATGTTCAACGTTTGAAACAATATCTTGGCAAACTTATTCTATTTCCATTGAAAACCGATAAACCGAAAAAGAACGATGCTAAACCAGAAGAAATAAAATTAGCTGTACAACTTAAAAAACGTGTTATGCCAGTTAAACAACGAACAACACGTGAAAAAGCTCGACCAATTAATGATGTTGATATGAAATTTCAAGCATTTCAAGCTTTACGTATGGCACGTGCTGATGCTAAATTAATTGGACAACGTGAAAAGAAAGCTAAACAAGCAGCTGAAGATGAGAAAAAACCAAAAAAAGAGAAATAAATGTTTTCTTTTATTATTGTTGTAACCAAAAATTTAGGTTAAAAAGAATCGAAATAAAAAGAAAACAACATCAAACCGATAAAATCTATATTGGTAGAACAAAATATTATAAAAAAAAAAAAAGAATTTCTTTTATTCAATTGGATAAAGTTGTATTTTATTTTCTATTTATAGATTTTCATGAATCTTTTAATATCACATCATATTGTACGTCCATTTCTATTGAAAAATTTTCTTCATATTCATGTACTACCATCATCATCTTCTTCTGTAATTCTAAAACGTTTTTCATCATCATTTAATAATAATAATAATAAAAATAAAAATGATTTTGAAAAAGCATTTAAACGATTTGAACGTGATGAAAAAAATCGTCATTTAAATCTAGCATTTTATCTAAGTTCAGGAGCTATATTAATGCTTGGTTTAACTTATGCATCTGTACCTTTGTATAAAATGTTTTGTGAAGCAACAGGTTTTGATGGAATTATAAAAAAAACTGGAGATGAAGATACTGTTTCAGAAAATGTTAGACAATTATCACAACGATTAGATAAATCACATCCATCAATACGAATACATTTTTCTTCTACACCATCATCACTTTTACCATGGACATTTGAACCAGAACAAACAGATATAATAATTCAACCAGGTGAAACAGCTTTAGCTTTTTATCGAGCTAAAAATGAATCAAATCGACCAATTATTGGTATAGCAACATATAATGTTCAACCATCACAAGCTGCATTTTATTTTAATAAAATTCAATGTTTTTGTTTTGAAGAACAACGTTTAGAACCAGATGAAGAAATTGATATGCCAGTTTTTTTCTATATTGATCCAGATTTTGTTCGAGATCCTAGTTTACAAGGTATTCGTGATATTAGTTTATCTTATACATTTTTTGAAAGTAAAGGAACAGAACAATTAGCTCTAATGGGTGGTGATCCAACAAAGATCAATTTAAAATTAAAACCAAGTGAAGCATTACCATATGCACATCGACAGAATGATAAAGTAAAAACTGTTCCTGTCTAGTTTTATATGTATATATATATATAGAATCATTTTTTGTGTTGTTTGTTTTGTTTTTCTTTTTTTTTTTACTATAAGATTGTATTAATAATTAAAGAAAAGAAAAAAAGACATTCAATTCATTTAAAGATAAATATGAACATTTTAATTAATGTTGGTTAGATTATCTAATGTAAATATTTTTCAATGATATAATTGGGGAAAGATGTTATTTAAAAAAATGGTAATAAAATCAAGAAATCAAAGTTTTCATAATGTATCTTTATTATTGATGACAAAAAAAAAATTATGAGTTTAAATAAAAGTGTTTTCAAAAGCATTTGCATAATGTATTAGGGTTTTTTTTAAAGATCTCTTGCTTATTACTAGAAACAACTATAAATGTCATTCTATTAAAATAAAATCTTCACTAGTTATGTTAAACCTTTACCGGTTGATACTAACCCAATAGAGTTGATGTTCCGTCAATCACGGGAATAATATATGCAGATGCTGATATAGTCGGGTGAAGTCTTTTCACTGTGAATATTAGGAAGCTGTGGATTCTTGAAGACTCTAGCTCGAGTCCAGATCTGGTCCACAAAGACGTGGATTCACAGCTACCTATAGGTAAGTATCGAACAATATTAAAACTTTTTTAATTCAAGATTTTTTGAAACCTATATCGTTAATTATTTTGAACGGGTAACAGTCAAATATCGAAAATTCAACACAAGCAGCTTGTATTTTCTGTTTAACTCGATCTGGAATAGCTGATTCATTTTCTTGAACATGTATAAAATTGGGTGTTAGTATAGTGAAATCAACCAGGTCCGTTCTGTTTTCAAATTCTTATCTTTCATTCCGTGCGCATCTTTTGTATACTCTGTCTACCTAATCTTTCTCGTCATCTTCAGATTCGAACCTCTACTGAACTCTAAAATTTCACTTCTCACTCGCTAATTTTTATTTATGTTTGAAACGTGTCAATGTAATTCATTTCGATTACTCATAATTTTCTACCTATTTATGATTTGTTATGGCATTCTAATTAGATTTCATATATCTATTGTAAATTATTAAAAAAAAAATTAAAGTCAACAGATAAATTTTTAAAGATACTTCAAAAAATTCAAGAAAAGAATAAATTCCATACTCAGATATGATTATCACAATACGAAGAGAGGCGTTCTAAATATTTAGAAATCAGTTGAAAATCCAAAATGTTGATAGTTCTCAAGCTTATTCTCAATAAAATTATATCTCTTATGTAATTCAAATCAATTATTGATAGTTGTTCAAAAATAATTAATTTCAAAATTACGACAGAATACATATTGAAATAAATTTAGTTTGAAATTCTTCAAAACTATATTGTTTTGGTTTCCACCAAAAACATGAAACGATCAAATCTCTGCAATATATCTATTAAAATTGTAAAATCTTCATTCGAAATCAAACAATATGAATTAATCTATCATACATTTGAAAATATTTTATATGATTAAATCTTTTGTTACAATAATTTCTGAAATTAATCACCTTATTTTATTCTTTATAAAAGAAAACAACAGTCAATAGATATCATAACTTATAATTTCAATAGTGTTACTGAATTATATTCATCTATATAGAATTATTAAACATATTTGATTAAATATGAATATAATTATTTCATGATTTATTTTTAAAATTAGTCTTATCAAAAAAGAAAACTAATTTTTTGTTTATTTTTTCTTGCTAATTTTATCTAATGTTTTCCAACATAAATAAAATGCTCTAGGTACATGATAACATCCTTTCCATTTTCCACCTTTTAAATTTAATAAAACTTCACCTTGTCGATTTAAATATCCATATAATTCTCCACCTTCTGGATCAACAAAATGATCAATAGTATATTTTTGTACTTTATTTAACCAATTAACTAATTCATCTATTTTATCTGGTCGATGATCAATAGCTTTAACTAATGCAATTAATGTTTCAAGATGAACCCACCATAATTTTTGATCCCATTCAAGTTGTTGTAGTGGTCGTTGTTCAATATCAAGAAAATAAAAAATTCCACCATATTTATCATCCCAACTATAATTTAATATTATTAATAATGTATCAATACATATTGAAGCTAATTCTTTATTATTTTGTCGTTCAGCAATATCAAGTAAAAACCACATTGCTTCAATACCATGACCAGGATTAAGAAGTCGTCCTTCAAATGAATCATTTCTTGAACCATCGTTATCATTAATATATTCTAAAATTAATCCAGAATCAATTTGACGAAATTGTTCAATTATTTCTTTAATACATTCTTGTGTTAATGTTTGTAGAAGTTGTTTATCAATAATATGTTCTAATTCCATAGCTAAATTACACATCATCATAGGTAAAGCAAAACTTTTTAATTGTCTTGGTGATATAGGACTTGCTTTATTCCATTCACTTTTAGGATTTAAACGACGTTTTTCTATATCATTAAATGTATTTAATGCAATTTCTTTATATTTTTCACAATTAATTTTATCAATTTTAGCCATTTGTCCAAATGCCATTGAAGCAAAAATACTTGAAAATATATTATATGGTTCAATAAGTGGTTCACCTTGTTGTGTTAAAGAAAAATACCATTGTCCACTTGTTGGATGTCGACCATATTTTTCAAGAAATTGTATACCATGTTGTGCTGTTAATAACCATTGTTTTCGTTCATCATCAGAAATATATAAATCATCATCTTGATATAATTTTGCAAACATCCAAACTTGTCGTGCTTGTAACCAAATAAATTTATCTGTATCAAAAATTTTTCCATAACGATCAAGACATGTAAAATAACCACCATATTCAGTATCAATTGAATAACGAAGCCAAAAAGGTATTATATTTGAAAGAAGATAATCACGATAATAATGTGACCATAAATTAAAATCATAAGATTTACTCATCGTTTATTTTATTTTATGTTTTCAAATAAAATATGTTGATAAAGTAGAATATTAAGATAAGAACCCCACACTCTATTTAGTCAATATAGAAAGGCAAAAGAAAAGGATTTACTTCACCTTAAGGTTATCTGGAGAAAAAAAAAGATATAACATAAATGTCAATAAACGATCTCGTGGCCTCTCAGTAAAAATATATTTATACAAATAATTCGATATTTATTTCATTTAATAAATAAACAATTCGTGATCATGTTCAAGTAAAATTACTCGATCGAAGATATCAATGTTATAATTTGTTATTCGGAGGATTATTATTTTATTATTTTGATGAATTGATACCGTATATATAACTAATAGAGTGTATTACAAACATTCTGACAATTGTTCTTGCATATAACGAAAAGCAGAATTCAATATATATATATATAAACATTTTTCATTACTTAAAACTTAGCGAGAGAATTTTCTTGAGAAATCGAGAACAATTTATAGTAATTAGTATCATCTTGGGCGTTTTTAATTTTTCGAAAACTATTTGAAACAGTATATCTCTGTTATAAAATATCATATGTTACAAGTATATATTATCCTCACATTCAATTATATCATAATAAAGAAACGATATGATGTTTAAACCTGACAAATGTTATGGATTGATTATTCTCAATGCATGTATCTTGATATATTATTTGAAAGAAAAAAAACTAATAGACACTAGAAATTAAATAGTTCAAAAAGACTTGCCAATTTCATAAGAATCATGACAATCAATAGAGATTCTATCGGGTATTTCAGAACATCAGATATTCCATCAATTAAAAGAAGAAGAACAAAATAAAATCATAAAATAAGTTTAAAACGAGAGATGAAACACTAAGATTTGTATCAAATGATCAGTTGGAGGAGAACTATTGATATACCGTGGTAGAATGACGATCAGAAGATAGTCGATCATTTAAGTTTCAAACTACTCTGTCAGTTAACCGCATCATTTCGCTCTTCAATATCTCAACTTTTCACACAGTAATTCAGCACACTCTACCTTGAAGTTAACGAATTTGGACGAGAAGGAAGAGAAGATGTGACAAAAGCTTTTAAGAGACACAAAACCATGGAATTGATTTGATGATCACTCATTATTTCGCTTTCAAACGTTTCGTTTTCTCATATTTTTGACGAATCTATATTTTGTGAGAAGAAATTTACGTGAAATATTTACAAGGAGTCTTTTGATTGTGTGATTTGATTGGGTGTTCAAGGAATCAATTGTGGATATTATGAACGATTCGCTAAAACAAATTTATTCATAACTTAGTATTAATATTCGCTTGATGTAACATTTAAACACCGTCGTTTTTGCTGATGAACGACTGTAATAAAGTCGTAAAAAATACGTTTCAAAGTATCTATGAAAGATTATCAGATGCATACGTATGAGACATCGATTTATATTTTCGATTTCTCAGGGATTCAACTGTATATAACATTAGTCGTGTATCGAGAGAACACATTAGTACCATCAAAAGATATTTCGTATTGAGAAAGTCCCATTTAAATTTGATCTCTTCTAATTGTCCATCTTCGATCTTATTCATACCAAGGTTAAATACACTTTATCTATCAATTCACTATTGTACGTATAAAGAAGATCATCACATCATGACACAAGCTTAGTTTTCAAACGAAAGATTGAAATTAATAATTTGACTATAGTCAAAATTATATAGTACTGTAATCAGGAAATCGTAGATGATAGAACAGCGCTGCACGCTTTGTCAAAAAATCCACTCAAAACAGTGTAAATAATGGCAGTTATTAGCTGTTTTCTTTTTCCTGAGGGTACGACAAAGACTATTGGTGGAAGGGCAACTCTCAGGCGGATGCACTCTTGGTTACACCATAAGATAAAACAGAAACCTAACCATTTATCAATAGTTTATCGTTCTTCATAGGCTTATGATTCGTATATTACAATTATTACTGTGATTGATAAAACGGTATACGAAAAAAAAAGAATTGTTATTTTGAATATCACCAATCTATTTTTTGTTTCTTGAATGTTAGTTATATCTAAAATGGAAACATATGAATAAAATGTTTTTATTCTTTCTTTAGTTTTTCATGTGTTCAACAAAATAACATATATTTTGAGATATTGATCAATAGTTTATTATAATAGATTTGATATATTTAAATTCAAGAACTAAGAATAACCACTCAAATTAATAAATCTAGTTATTTGTTCTGCAGAAAAGAAAAGGACAGTTTAATTAAGTGTTATAGCAGCACATCTACAGATTATGGGAAAGAAATTTCGCATTGGCTACATCAAAACAAATACCAATTAGTGTTGTTGTTTTGATTATAACTAGAGACAGAAAAAAGAACATTCCATTATATAATTATTTTACGTAAAAATAGATACAAATATTCATATGGGTTCATACTTTTTGGATTTATTAGTCAAACCTATTTTTTATGTTTCAATACTGACCTTCGATCGTATACAATCATAGAAAACATCCATATCACCTAGTTTTAGATTGTAAAAATATGTCATTTCAAAAAAAGATAGTTATTCAAGATAAAGCCACTTTACATAAGTAAGTGAAATTCTAAAAATCTAAACATTTCTAATGTATAAAGATCTATTATAGACCTCGCGTATGTGGTGGTATTGCTGGTCTGCGACCAGTGAATGAAGAAGATTTACAAGTTTGGGATATGGTAAGAATTAATTCTTTCTTAAATTGAAATCGATGAATTTATTTTATATAGTAC